AGTGTTGTTTCTCTCTCTCTCTCTCTCTCTCTCTCTCTCTCTCTCTCTCTCTCTCTCTCTCTCTCTCTCTCTCTCTCTCTCTTCCACATCCCCCACATCAAACTCCCACTTTCTCTCTCTCTCTCTCTCTCTCTCTCTCTCCCACATCTAATTCCCACTTTCTTTCCCTCTTCCACATCAACACATCTAACTCCCACTTTAGTGGGTGGTTGGCGGGTGCCCTGGTGTGGTTTGCTTCAAACATCTATCGTCTTTATCTCCCCTCCTTCTTTTTCTCTTGTAACACCTCTAATCTTCGGCACTTATATTACCTTACTGCGTTGCAAGTGCCGTAAAACTCTTATTAAAAGCAAAATAACTCCCACTTTCTCTCTCTCTCTCCCACATCTCCCTGTGGCACAGGCTGGTGCTGCTGGCGGCCGTGGTCGTCTTCACCCTTGCCGTCCTTCAATCGTCGGGGAATCCCACTGAGCTACGCGCTCCTGTGATGGTCGACGTGGTGGTCACTCCCAGCAACACTGCGGACGTCTCTGGTTACGTGTCGGGTCAAGTCAAGTACCTCAACTTCATCATCTCGGACAATGTGACGAAACCGTCGCCGACATGTTCTCCAATACACAACATCGCATTCCTAAAGACACACAAGGCGGGGTCCTCGACTGTCACGAGCATTCTACAACGTTACGGGATGACGAGGAATTTGCAGTTCGCCTTGCCGGACAAACCCAGCCACACCTTTGCCTACAACTATCTGTCTAAGCCTGGAGGTAGGCTCACCTTACAAGCCGTCATTCCCTTACTGCCTGGTAAGGAGGAGTACAATATTCTCTGTAATCACGCAGTCTACAACCGCACCGCATTCCGATTAATCATGCCTTCAGATACTGTTTATATATCGATCCTCAGAGAGCCATTTTCCCAAGTGGAGTCAATATTCGAATACTATGGCGTAATCGGCTCACTTGCTCGTGTCAATCCCTCGATTCGAAATTTTACGAATCCGCTGTCAGAATTTTTCTCTAACCCTTACAAATATGAAAAAGGGAACGTACATTTTTCATATTTACGAAACAAGCAAGCAGAAGATTTTGGATTGAGTGTAGACGAGTTATTTTCACCTTCAAAGTTTGATGAATACCTTCAACAACTGTCTCAAGATTTCCTTCTCGTTATGATCATGGAATATTTTGATGAGTCACTTTTGCTGCTAAAACACGCACTGTGCTGGGACACGAAGGATATTCTGTTCATTCCAAAGAACAAAAACGGTAGAAAACCCAGAAGAAACTTTACAGACGAGGACCGAAAGCGACATAGGAAATTGTCTTCCTTGGATTACAAGCTTTACGATTTCTTTTTGAAGCGTCTGCAGGACGAGCTGTCTCGTCAGAGCGAAGACTTCTTCCAAGAACTAGACAACTTCCGGTCACTTTTGACACAGGTCAAGCACACGTGTGAAACAAAATCTTCATTTTTTTACGTCACAGCTACGCGCTGGTATGACGCGTTCAACGTCACGGCCGAGGACTGCAATATTCTGCGCATGCCCGAGCTGGTGGCTTTGGATGTCCTCTTGAAGAGAGCACGACCCCCAGTGGTCACTCCGACACCACTTTCGGGGTCCAAAATCCACTAAAGATGTGTGGCCTGAAGATGGGAGAGAGTGAGAGAGAGAGAGAGAGAGAGAGAGAGAGAGAGAGAGAGA